ATTAAGGTTCTGTGAATTTGGAAGTATGACGGCAAACGTCGTAGATATTGAAGAAATTATACTAATTATGAGCTAACTAGGTGCCGCCTTTAGTGATTCGCTCTTATTTCACAGGGCGAGTCATAAAAAAACGAAGACTTAAATTCAGAAACAACGCTATCTATTGACATATAGAAGTAATATAGTAATTAATTATAAAGATATATGCTAGACAACGTTAAATGTATTGCTTCGATTTCATATAAATAACATATAAATAGCTCAAGCCTTGAATTTAAAACAACAAAGATTTCACAACACCCAATCCTAAGACAATAGAGAAACTTTTTTTTTTCTATGAAAATTTCGAATATGGGTCAGACATTTTAAGGATGGATATGTATCTCTAAGCCTAACTTTATAATACAATTTTATGGTATATCCCTTTAAAATTTTATACTTTGTTAAAAATTTCGTGCTTGCCAAATAATTTTTAAGCTGTCCCAATAATTTAATATGAAAATCAGCCTTTTTTTGTCTTGATCGATATTATAACAATGTCATTGACGTTCACTAGTCATTTGGACTAATAAAGCAAATCCCATTTTGATTTAAGATCATAGCCTTTTTGATGCTGGCAGGTCATTAGTTTAATCATTATGTTTTCATGTTTTTTAGTTGGTATTGGTTTGTTATATTCGCCATTTGATTGGCAATTTCGTTTTTGTGATGATCGTTACATTGGCAAGGCCATATTTTTATTTTAAGTTCTGTTTAAAACCAAAACATTTACGTTTTATTTTAAAGGTTTGTAATTGTACTAAACTTTTTACTTCAGGAAAAAATAAACTGTTCTTTAATTTGAAATGATTTTGTCTTGTTCTTAATTTTTTTAACTACATCGGTTTTGAGTTTTATATTTAAAGGTTTTAATATTAAAAAAGTTTAGACAAGCTACCATCAAAATACTAATAAACATTATAGGAAATTTACTAATTATTTTGGAAAGATTTGACAATATCTATGGTGGCAAAATGATTTTACTATGACGCCCTGTGTTAAATAAATACATTAACAGTATGCTGTTATATAGGGTTGTTCCGTATTCATCCTATGACGTCTCATCCTATGCATTATTTTTTCCTTACTCATCCTATTTTTGTTCTTCACTCAACCCACAATAATTTATTTTAATTAATTTTAATTTTGAATTCCTTACTCATCCTATCGGTGTTCTTAGCCCATCCCAATTTTAAATTACGCAAAAAATGTAAGAATTTTGTGTACGGTCTGAACAAAAATATTATCTTTTAATATAATCTGAGTTAATTGTTGCTCTATATAAAATAAAATAGCAGGAATTCTGAAAGATGTAATGAGAGATAAATTTTGCATTCACAATGCTTTCTTATCTAGCACATATTACATATAAAAACTATTATTTATAAAATATGTACTTACTCCATCATCGTCAGCCTTTTAATGTCTCCAGTTGTGGGGACATTAAAAGGCTGACTATGATGGAGTAAGTACATATTTTATAAATAATAGTTTATAAAATATGTACTTACTCCATCATATTTTATAAATAATAGTTTTTATATGTAATATGTGCTAGATAAGAAAGCATTGTGAATGCAAAATTTATCTCTCATTACATCTTTCAGAATTCCTGCTATTTTATTTTATATAGAGCAACAATTAACTCAGATTATATTAAAAGATAATATTTTTGTTCAGACCGTACACAAAATTCTTACATTTTTTGCGTAATTTAAAATTGGGATGAGCTAAGACTGGAGACATTAAAAGGCTGACGATGATGGAGTAAGTACATATTTTATAAATAATAGTTTTTATATGTTATATGTGCTAGATAAGGATATTTATCGTATACATGATAATTTTCCGTAAAAATATTAAACGTTGTTTTGCTATCCATACTTTTTAGTACGATAATATTTGCTACAGGATGAGTAAGGAATACGTGTTTAGGATGACTTTCATAGGTTGAGTTAGGAATACAAAGTTTGGGATGAGTGAAGAAATAGGATGAGACGTCATAGGATGAATACAGCACAACCCGTAATATAATCTCTCCGTACTCGGTCCCTCACGACTGAGTATCGTGGTTAGCATCGGTGTTACATCTGGTGGATTTGCCTCCTCTGGTTCTTGTTCAGTGTGTCTCTTATGACGGTGTAAAGGGACGATGATGATTGTTCACCTGATCAGTCCATCTCGTTAGCGAGCGACTGCGTGACCTTTTGTATTTAGTACTTCCCACCACAATTTGTTCTTTTGTCGCTTCTGCAATATGGTGCTTTTATTGACATATGATGGAGAGGCGATTTTTTAATTTTGATTTGATTCAGGATCTATTCATTAGTGCGTTTCGCTGTCCAAGGGATTCGCCTTTAGCACCATATCTCAAATGCATCGATCCTTTATCTTTCTTAGGCCAGAATTGTCCACTCCAATCAGAAAGATAGAGGTCTTTGATGTAATAATCTACTATTATTATATTTGAATATTATATTTGAAATAGAACATTAAATAAAAACATTAGCGACAATTCTGGAGCGTGGTTCACAGGAAACCGCTAAGTGGGATAAAAAGTCGCTAATTCTAGTCAAGAATTATTCGTATACCAAATTTTATCCAAATTTGTTCAGTATTTTTAAGTGAAATACTAACAAACATCCATCCATACATCCTCACAAACTTTCGGATTTATAATATTAGTAGGGTTTATCAATGCAATTTTAAAAGATTATAATTATGAGAAGAAATATGATAAAATATTTAAAAGTATTTTTCTAATTAGTTTTCTATTAAAAATGACGTTGTAATCTTCTGGTTTAAGCACTTATCACACTAAATGGTGTCTTTAAAAGACATAAACGCGTTATCACTTTTATTAGAGAAAAAAAATTACTGACTCGATCAAACTCCACATTTTTGCATTTCGGTAATATTTGTGAAAGATTAAATAACTATTGTACATTTGCTACTGAGCATATCATAAGTATATACATATTATATTATAAGAACTCGAACAAAAAGTAATTTTGCCTTGACCTATACTTGAAGATGCACAAACTAGTATTACACCTAAAGATTTGCATCGAACATTTATATTTTATAAATAGGGAAATATCATTACGCTTACAATCTTGCTACGCAAAGAGCAACAAAATAACATTGTAAATTTAAAATTGGAATTTTCAAGCAAATTTGAGATAATTAAGAAAGAAACATTGTACTAGATATAATTAGAAGGTTTTCATTATTTTCATAGACTTTTACAAAGTATTATAGTTTTAAAAAAGACTTTATTATTATAGCAGTAGATCTGTAGTCTCGCCTTGAGTACCGGTAAGGTACCGCTAATATTACATAACATTTGTTTATAGTGATCGCACATGAGCGGTGATGGTGAACTTTAGCCGTGTGACCTCCTTCTGTTACAGGTTCGATTTATTACAAATTATAAAGGAGTTTTTATTTAATCTTTAATGCAAAGGATTATTACAAATTACAATATTTGTTTAAGTAATATGAAGCATCAAAAACCACGGAAATTAGTAATTTATAAATATAAAAACTTAAGTCGGTGTTATCTTTGTTTTTATATTTTGACTAAAGTAAAGGGTTTGTAAAGTTAATGTTTATGGAATTAGAAGAAGTTTGGCTTTACTCGAATCAGAAAACTTTTTGCCTGTGCGAAGTATATCGTATAATTTTACATTAAAACATTTTTGGTGGAATGATATATACATATAGTATTGTGCCACAGATACGGTTTGTTTTAGACAGGTGAAGCTATTGACCAGAGGTTAAAGCAGGGTTCACAAATGTATGATTTTATTGAAAGTGAGAGCAAAGATTTACATAAAAACACAAAGAAAAGTTAATTCAAAACTTATAAAAAGGCAACCAATGCCCTTGTTCGGATCTTCTTGAATTAAGACAAGACTGTGATGTTATCATTCTATCAGACAGCTGTTTTTTATGATATTAATAATAGCATTTGAATTATTAATTATATAATTATTTTAAATTTACTTGTAAAATTGAAATCGATAAATAATCAAGCAAAGAAGATATAAAAGCGAATATTGAATATAAAAAAGAAATAAAATCGGCCATTAGTTGAACTCGAGCGCAGAACAGAAAATTAAAAAGACCATAGTCTTCTAATAGGTTTTAAAGAACTATTACCTGTAATTAACTTATAAAAAAAACTCAGTAAAATAAAATTTCATTTCATTTGTCATGCCAGGAGGAGAGAGGATACGATCAATAGACAGATTACTGACAGATCCTATAAAGATTCTATTCCTTCTTATTTTGGTATGGAACCCCAAAAATGTAAATACTTTTGATTCTACAGATGATGTTTCAATTCTTAGGGGTATCAATATTTTTTTAAATAAAACAAATCCCACTGTTTATATATTTTACAACTTCATAACTTAAAATAAAGAACAGTGAATTAAATACAATGTTAAATACATAATTTTTACCTTCTATTGTCTGATTTTATGAGCAAGAGGTTTTCAATTTGACTGAATAGTTTTATGCATGGTGCCGCAGTATTTTTTCTTTGAAAGTGGTGAAATTTCCAAAGGGGAAATAAGTTGGATTAATGGGATTAGTAGATTTTATTTTGTAAAGTTTAATAATTAATTATGTTAAACTAATTTTGCATGAACACAAGCACAAGTTAATGACATTCATTAATAAAATTTATATACGACGGCTGAATTGTAAGACAAAAGTTCAAATTTATAAAAGTATATCTCTTCGGATATATTAAAGGTCTCCAAACACAATGTAGGTTAAGCAGAGAGACGACAAGGCAATGGGCAAACAAATTTACACAATTCACAAATCCCTGTAACGTTCTCTTGAATCACCGAAAAATAAACTTTGTAAGAATGTGATTAACACCTTGCCTCCCAACAAATATTGAAACATTTATTGTCAACACTTTGAAACGATATTTATAGCACCACTTGGTAATTCAGTGTATAGACGACCGGGAATCGTGCCACGATCAATACCTACATTCCATCAGATTAGTTTCTGATTAGATCTGACATTATGATGAGAATTGTAAGTGATCCAGTGTTTGACTGTTAAATATATATATTTTTAATTGTTTTTATATTGATTATAACATAGTTTTTACGAGTTTACTACTGTTATAAATATATGAAACCCAATCAGTGCAATTAATAAACAAGGTTTAGCGTTGAAGTAAATTTAGTCTGAGACTGCACTCAGTATTAGTCAAAATTCATATGATTAAAGAGACTTAGCGAAGGTTAACTCAGTACGAGGTTCGTACGTAGAATAGTAGGTTTGTTTATTCATATTATACAGAACTTGGACTAATACTAAAACTGCAATTTTAGCGTAAATTTACTCTGACGCTAAACCTTGCTTATTAATAGCACTGATTGTAATTATTTGACAATTATGTATAATCGCTAGATATTTTGAGTAATTAATAAACTGTGTGGATAATATGTCAAAAGTAATAATAATACTTATCTAGAGATTATTCATGATCAGCTTGGGATTGGCGAAAGTAATAGTTAAATACGTAATGACAACAATGGGAATGAAATACAGAGAGTTCAGAATTGAGTCCTAACTTTTAATTTTATTATAAAAATACACAATACCCCCCAACCAACTTAAATAGGTCAAATTGTTGTCAGAGTTCAAGCCTTTTTTATGGCGCTGAGAAATGCGTTATGCATACCCGCTCCCCCAGCGGGGTCGGTCGGCGGGTTCACAGTTCAAACCTAACCTAACCTAACCATTTCAATCCCATTGACCTCTGTTTAATTAATTGTATGTCATCTTCTCTGTCACGCACTGCAGTAACGCACTGTAAGAATTACATACAGGAACATAGGATTATCATATTAATAGTTATTTTAATATTAATTACTATAATAGAATGAATATATGACATTATTTGTATTGTTATTAATAACAAACTTTTGTTCCCGTAGACTTTACTTGCACTCGCTTCTTTTGCATTGGTTTGTGCTATACCTCAAGATGCGGCACCTGCACAGCCTGCTGTCCAGATCTTGAAACAAGATTCTGATGTTAACGTAGACAGTTACAATTTTGAGTGAGTATGACTTTTTCCTGCAAACTTATTATACCTATAATTTACTTTATCATTTGCAAATACAATGATAACGTTTGTGCTTTATACGTAATAATCAATACGTAATTTAAAAATGTGTTCCTATTTTTATTTATATAAATTTTATTATTATAAAAATAGGTTTGGTTGCCATAGGTTGCCTGGAAGAAATTGCTGTTAAGCAATAAGGCCGCCATTTGTTTACTCAATGTTTTTAAATAATAAGCTCCTGTAAACATTGTATCATATTGAGTGCAATAAAGTATATTATTATTATTATAAATATTTATCCACCATAATAATACCTTATGACTGTTTTTTTAAACACAAAAAAATACCGAATGATTACAGAAATAACGATCAAACTGCTAAATATTATTTCTAATTATGTATTATCTTTAATGGGTAGACTGTAAATGTCAAGGTTTCATCTCATTATCTGACATTATCCATAGGGAAGCTGCGTGCCTACTAAGGCACGCAGCTTCCCTATGGATAATCCCTATGGATAATACGGATAATCCCTAATAAAGTCCCCACTACTGAGTGGGGACTTTATTAGGTTGATTTTTAAATGTCAAAATAAGTAAATAATCTATATATTTTTATGTATTTTGCATTTTGGTCTTCATTATTTCTTGACGATGAGTGCAATAACATAAAGTCGTGATTGAAGACAGGTGATTCATTAAAATTAATAAAGCGGATATTATCGTTTGTGTTATGTATCGTGCACATTTATATTAATATTGTGATAATTTACATTTCATATGCACTGTTTGTAATAACCTGTGGTAACAACGACGTCAACATTAGAGACGAGATATATAAAATGAATGCTTGCCACTTAATAACATTTGGTATTAGTAGAAGAGACATTAATAAATAACAAGAAAAGTAAATTTAGTTAGTGACAACACAACAACTAATATTGGGCCAACCCGCGTGATAAGTTATGCTCGCGTAGCATGGTGTACTCGAGACACTCTAGATGCACCAGAAACCAGCCGAGAGCGAGATATTTCACTCTCGCCCGTTTCTCGAGTTCGTTATGCTACCCGGAGTTGTCCGATCTTTGATGTTTTGAGAGGGCTTAGGTTTCAAACATGTGGTAGCATGATATCGTCTTTATCCGTTGCCCCAAGCCTATAGGCCCTGCCGCCTTAAGGATTGCGTTGTATGCTATCGCAAATCCGCTATCTTTCTCGCTCTAGCAAATAGCGGTTCTGATTGACATAAATAGAATAAGGTAACGGAAAATGGAGGTACCGTGTTTTCAGATAAATTAAAAATTAAGATAATTAGTAAGGGATAATTAAATAATGGAGAAAAATGTTTTAACATTTTTTATCCATATGACAACAATGTGAAAATATTTTTCGAAGAATTATTTAGTACCAATCAAATCAAATTTTACATATTCTTACTTAATTGCTTTCAAATTGTGTGTTATTTCTTTATGTATAATATTTTATTATTTGTATTAGATGACTCTTATAAGTCATATAATAGTTTATAAGGTAAACAACCAAACATTGAAAAATGGATAGTAAACACTGTTGCATGTAATCTAAAAATATATTATTTATGTTAATTGATTCAATTGCTTTTGGTTTCAGCTTTGAAACAAGTGATGGTACTGCAAGGCAAGAGCAAGGTGATTACAAGAACGATACAGACCAACAGGGTCTGTTGGTGAGGGGTAGCTACAAGTACGTAGCTCCTGATGGACAGCATATACAGGTCAGGGTTTTAATACTTTGTTACGTAAAGAACCAACAATAAATTCTTATTCTTTTTATGCTAAAATAAAATAAAATAAAGTACGTTTTTAAACCTTGAATTCATCACAGTTACAGTTCTCACATATTACGGCACATATAGTAATCTACACACAATTTTCGTATTTCAATTGAGGTGTAGCCCGCGTAGCAAACTTAAAAGACTCGAGAAACGAGTCGTGAATAAGATGTGTTCATACAAAATTTCACTCTCACTTTTGGTCTCGCCCATTTCTCGAGTCTCTCGAGTTTGTTTTGGTACACAGGTTAGGGTGGGATGCTGAGCGTAACCTAACAACACAGCATAGTCCTTAATTTTGGTTCAACTTACGTGCCGCGCATTATACTGGTTGAAGGACAGCAGAACTGCAATTGTCCATACCACACTAGCTTACATTATTCTCCTCACGAGTTCCTCTTCGCTGTTCCAAAAGAGCGTCAAACCAGTGGGCGTATCTATACCCACTAAATCTGTTCAATAGAGAGCTACCCTACAAATAATGATTACTAGCTCAAATTATAGACGAATTACTTCAGCGACACTGACTATCTCATTTTCTCATAATCTTTACACGCGAATGGTATTAAACCCACATGGTGCTGAGTAACAGTCTCTTCGTGTTTATATGTAGTTCTTATTTCTTTTATTGGAGTTTATGTGTCAAATTTCAACTAATTCTTCATTATGAAATAGAAAATTTAAAAATTAAATCTTATGATATCATAGCAACATGATTAATTATTTCTTACAGCGTTATATGTATTTCGTATGGAATTGAATTGAGAAAATGCAATAACTTCATTTATTTTTAATTCAGGTCACTTACGTTGCTGATAAGAATGGATACCAGCCCACAGTAGACAACAGCAGTCAGGCTGCACCAGCTGCACCATCTCAAGCATAAAAGTCGTGAATTGATGCAATTACTGGCTACAACCAAATTATATTTTACTATAATATCTAGTCGCTTATTACATATAAAAATTAACTGACATTAAAGTAATGTGATGTTATCTGGAGTTTCTTTTTATACATCGTTTTATAGCTTTTAGATTTCTTCGAAACATAATGATATGTTTCTTTTTTTTATAAACTCCCGCATATAAATAATATTAGACAGTTTCCGTATTGAAAAATATTATTTATTACACGTTTTGTGAGTTCATATTTCCTTCCTACTTTGTATAATCACTGTAAGTTCTCGGATTTTTAACTTAAATCACAAGTGTGTAAAAACGTACTTAGTATTAAAATATTTGTAGGCGTTAAATTTTTCAATACTTTGAAATAATCAGTTCAATAAAACAACGGCATTCAATTATTATAAGAGATTGATCAATTTTACATTAACAATGCTTTACTAAAAATATTCTTAATTTCTTAAGAAAAAATCATCAAATATAATAATTAGATCAAATTTTCATCTTTATTTGAAAGGTTAAATATATGTAAAAATATTTTTTTCGGCTGCTTGGGCGGATTGCCTGAACATTGATGAAAATACGCTTTGTAGTAGTCAAAAAGAAACAAGTTCTTGAAAAATGTTAGATCCTGGGTAGCTCAGTGATTAGAGCAGCCGCTCGGATTGCGAAAGGTCATAGGTTCGAGTTCCATCTCAGAGTGCCAAGGACAAAGTGCCAGGGGTATGTTTCATTAAGAATATTTTTATTATAAAAGATGTTTAGAATTAAATTAGAAAAGAAAAATAAGATACGTCTTGTACCATAGGTTTACAAGAACTTTTTTAAGGAGCTGTGAGAGCCTTAAACCTTTTTTATAATTTTCTTTATACAGCTTTAGTTGAGTTTATAATTCTGTATGTTTAAATGCAGTTAAAACATAGATAACCTTTCCACTAACAGCAATGCTGGATAAGCTTCCTATACCAATAGTTAGGTATTATATTGGCTAATATCATTAATAGACTTTTCATTATTTATCATCATCATCATCATCAGCCCTTTTATGTCCCCACTGCAGGGGCTCAGGCCTTCCTTATGGATGGTTAAGGAGGATGGGCCATGATCCTCCACGCTGGCCCAATGCGGATTGCTAGGTTTTCACTATTAAAATCCTTTAATTTTTAATTGAGATTAAAATTACTTAAGCAGAAATTTTTAACCAATAGACTTGACTATTCTTGAATTTATATGAAATAAGAACTGTTGATAGTTAATAATAATAATAGTATTGTAATTATTAACAGTTATTTATTAATTTATTCTAACTCTTATTTCTTTGTTAAAAAATAAACAACCCATGAATGTTAAGTCATAAACATTAAATAATGACAAATAAATGCAATTCAATGGCAATAATATAGTTAATTATAACAATAAATTCAGTACTTTAATAAAATAGCTGTAAAATTATAGATTCATATTATTAAATTAAATATTGCTACTCATTTAATTTGATTATATGAATCTGTAATAAAATCTATAATATTAATGAAAAACTTTCAACGACATAATATAAAACATTAAATAATAAATTTTGCATTAATTAGGGGCCCAGGTCTTCCATTTGCATGGAATTTAATGGAGATGAGACATGATAACGACTGCAGATGCAGCCGGGACCTACTGATAAACAGGCCTTCCAAAGCACGGATTAGCTTGAGATAATAAATTTTGCTACCTATCCTACGAACAGCCATTGCAAAAGTTGTTGAACAAGAGTATAGCAGGCTGGGCGCGTTAAATTCTGCGCCATCTAGTTCTCAAGCTTACTAAACAAACAACATTAGAAACTTTAATTTGTAAATGAAAGACTTATTCTGAAATTATCTGTTTGCTCTTTTTGTCTTATGCACTTAACAATTTTCCTCTCATTCATACAAAATTTTACACAAATTACAGAATTCAAGTTTTTATTATACTTCGTAAAAAACGGGTTTTCAAGTTTTTATTATTCTTCGATTTGTTATAAAGTTTATTAATTTCTGGAAAAAAAATTTTTATCGCTCAATATTAGCCAATTTGTAGCTAACGTATCAATTTACATTTTAAAAAGAAGTTATCCCTACATTCCGTTCATACTATTCCCAGTATCCAATGTCTATTTTCTATGTAAGCGTTGTAACTTCCGTCCCTGCTAAAACACTACATTATACTATCAACCGTAATCCTTACATTTGTTCTGCTCTATTCTCTTTTAGGTGCCATTATTTTTGTCACATTCAATTCCCATTTTGAAAATAAAAAAAGATACAAAGCATGTCCTTAAAATTGTCTTTGATATATTCATAAGTTTCACTGTGTTAGCAACATAATATTAATAAGTAACTTATGTATTTCTTGGGCTGGCAACCCTCTTTGTCTTCTTACGGCGCGGCCTTCAAGAGTGTGTTTACGCAAACATTAATAAATAAATAAATATTAAACTATATCACATACATTGCTCAGGTCCAAGATGAGTAGCTAAAGCTCCCGTATTAGGAGTATCTGAGACAACGAAGGTTACACAACACCCAGACCCGAGACAATATAGAAAAGTTCACATTCTACATTGATCCGACCGGGAAACAAACCCGGGACCACAGATATGGCGACACCTTGAAACCGGCGTGCCAACCACTCGGCTACGGAGGTCGTCAATAAGTTTTATAAACATTTTTTTTTACTTCGGAATCTCTACACAACTTACTACACCACACACTATGCCAATTACTTTTTTATAATATTTCTGATGTTACAAAATACAGTGATTTTATAAAGTTTACTAGCTTTTGCCCGCGACTTCGATCGTGTGATTTAGTTTTAAGTCCAGAAATGAGAAAATTTCATAAAAACTTCCATCCCTTATTTATGCTCTTAGGGGTCGAATTTCGTAAAATTCCATCTTAGTGAGCACCTACGTCTTAAAATGAACCCGCATGCAAAATTTGAAACTAGCACTTGTAGTAACAAAGTTTCATACAAACTTTCATCCCGTAATTTAGCCCCTTCGGGGTGGAATTTTCAAAAATTCTCTCTTAGTGCTCCTCTACACTCCCTAAGGAATCTTCATTCCAAATTTCAACTTTCTAAGCTAGTAGTTTCAGCTGTACGTTGTCTGTCAGTCAGTGAGTCACTCAGTAACGCAAGAATTTTATATATATAGATTATAAAGCAATAATTTGCTAATATGAGGTTCTATAATGACCTAGGTATCAATTTAATTTACTGGTTGACCTTAGGAATTCTGGAATGTTAATAAGGACATAATAATTTTGAAAAAAGTGGTTTTGTCTATAACTGACACTCATCCATAGCATTTAGCTATTAAAAACCGATATATGCCTGATAGAGTTTCATGCAAATTGCTATTTTAAAATTTGGTCACGAATGGCGATCGTTTTGAATATAATTAGTTACAAGCACATTTTAAAAAATTTGAAATACATACAGACAGTCAAAAACATTAAAACATTCTTAATAAGTAAGCTTATTTCAAAATTATTGTGATAACGTAAAAATAGTATCTATTCCTTCTTAACCGTCGATAAGGAAGATGATGATGATTTTCTGTTATAAAAAGCCCTGGATGACTTCAATAGTGATGTTTCAATAAATAAAATTAGAAATATAGTTATTTGTATATACAACAATGCAAAGTTGCTTTTTAACCGCGAGCTCATGTTGTATGACCGAGCATGCAAATGGTTCTAAGATTGAGAAGAGATTAAAAAAAATAGAGTTCTGAGTATTAGCGAGGGAATCAAAAGAGCACGCGATGAAAAATCTTTGCTTTCTAGTGTAACACGTAACTTTTCATCCCATCGCAGCGAGGATATGACTAAATACAAAGAAAACATTGACGATCACACCAAGTAGGATCCGAGTCTGAGTTTGTAACAAATTAAAAAAAAGATTGTATGATAATTTCGGCACCATGGAGGTGGAAGTAAATAGGTTTAATGATGTTTTGAATTTACATGCTTATAAGTGCACATGATCTTCTAAATTCTATTTACTTTATCCTCTAGTAAAAACGACCTTTGCGTTCAGATATCGAAAAGCAAAAAAACTATTTCCGAGATGGGGGGATGAATAAAAATTTCATTTTTAAAGCAAAATATATTTTTGTCACAATTTATTGGGCAGCAACAACTCTTATGGTAGGCTTGTAGCCTTTATCGTCAGCAGTAAAAGAGACCTCATACTGTTGTCCATCTGGAGCTGTGTAAGAGTATGTGCCCCTGACGCCTATGCCTTGGTTCTCGCCGACAGTTATCAGATGGGCTTCTTCTTGGCGAGACACCCCATCACTGGTTTTGTACCTGTAATATTTATTAAGTGTCTTTATTAATAAATTTATAGGTATGGTTAGTTATATAACGTTTGTTGTTTTAAAATAAATTGTCACATTAATGAAAATATCGATCCTAACTTCTATGAGAGATTAATTTGTATGGAAGTGCAAAGAATTATTTAATTTGTATCGAAACGAAATGAAAAAGATGAGCTCATAACTAGGTTTGTTTTTATAAGTTAACAATATCAGTTAGGCATTGTAAAATCTGAATAGCGTTGAGTGTTAAGTTTTAGAAAAATAGTAAATATATATCTAAAATTTGGTTATCGTAGTAGATGGTTTACATATAAGTATTTCGTTAACATATATATATACACTTTAACATTTAAAAAGTAATATTTAACAGTAAGTAGCAATACATACACGAAATTGTATCCATCGAGGCTAACATCAGTTTTCTCTGTAAGAATTTCTACTTCAGCCTTGTCTGATGACTGCTGGGCAGATATGGCTACCACTAGCAGACAGATTGTGAAGTATTTCTACAGGTAACAAAAGCATTTTTATGTTATACCAATAAATTATCACATATGTTAATTTCAGAACAGCGATCAATAGGTAGACGCGTTTCAGATTATAGATTAAACACTTGCTTTTTCTGGGTTCATGTCTTAGTAAAATTTTTAGCAAAACAAGGATAGTAATCATTTAATAAATATTATGTAATCAACTTCGAATCTTAACAATTACTCTATTAAATTATAAAATACACTT